TGATACTTTGATTTTATTAGTGCCTTAAACATTCGAGAATGTAACTCTGCAAAACTAAAAGCTTTTTTGTCTTTTTTGAAACGTATATCATTGGAGTATTGGTTATTGGCAAGTTCTGCCCTTCGTTTCTGAAATTTACAAACTATATTGAAATAATGCAAGTAAAAAATAGTGACAACTTGTAAGCCATACATTTTCCGATAACGACAAAATGTGGATACAAAACAATACCAATAATTACAATAACCACCACGGTGATTACTTTTTAACAATGAGTTTAAGGATTAACACTGAAAATGCAAAATTTGCATGGTGTGCTGTGAAGCGTCATAAGTCTTAGTCTATTAACTGTGAACTGTGTAAGCCCTTTCGATACATGTAATTGTAAATTTGTATTCTTACAGGGCTTGAAATAACGTTCCCAAAGTTCTCGATCATGACTTTCCCTGATTGTTTCAGGTTGGAAACCGAAACCCTGCTTTTCCGCCGAGCATATAAGCAATTCCATGCCGATCATTGATCGGTTGTTATTTCAAGCTCTGTCTTAACAATTTTGAATTGATACTGATTTCAAATGACTAAAGCCATGTAATAATTATCCCATGCAACTGTTAGAAAGGGAAATTTTGAACGGAGGACAAAAATCCTAAAGAAAAGGTGAAGTTTCTAAGGGGGGGCGAATTTCCTAAAGGGGGGCGAATTTCCTAGGATTTTCGCCGGGGGGGGGGGGCGATATTCCTAGGAATTTCGCCCCCGGGGGCGAAATTGTAGAGGGGGCGAAAATATGAAAAATTAGAAATCGGTGGCTGCTTTAGTCGTATATTTTTTATTTACGTGTCAAATTCCTCCTGGCTATCTGCAAATAAAATTTGCAGCTCTTCACATAGTCAAACACAACTATTCCTGACTGCTTTTATAGTTATAAACATTGTAAAATTTACCTTGTAATTTTGACTTTCGCTAACAAAAACGTATGGAGAAAGTTCTTTAACCACAGCAGTTGCTCCTCTTTCTATTTTAGGTTTAATTTTCTTCGCTTTGAATAGTTTTGAAAGACTTTTAGACATTTTCTGCTGTTTGAAACTCGGCTCTTGTCGCAGGGCAAAAAAATTGCGTGTTGCCCGTGGGCATGCAATACGGGAAAATCCTGCCTCGTCAGCAGCCAATCAAATTGCGCGATTCATCAAAACGAATGCTTGCCATATAATAAATACTAATACTAAACATGCAATAACAATGGTTTGAAAATTAAAACCAATCATTCTAGTCTGAGACATCAACTGTTAATTCCGAAATGCGAAGGAGCGGTCGGGGGTTACAGAATTGCTTGTTGGAAATTTTTTTTGTTTTTGCCAGGATAAAAGGTTTAGACTGTTTGATGTTCATAGGGTTAAGTTTTTGATTTAATTATTATATTAAGTAATAGCACACTTACTTTTAGGCTAGTGTAATGGAGGCTCTTCCCTGTAGTAGTCATTTAGTCCCCACCCCCCTTTCACTGAAAAAACACTAAAAATAAAAAATCCTCTGGAGTAGTTTAACTATTGAGTGCCAACACTTGCACCTTGATAGGAAAAATTATGGGTATTGGACAGTTAAGTAAAATAACAAAGTATGGAGCATTACAGCACAATATTGTCATTGGGAAAGTAGCCAAAGCAAGCTGTTTCGCCCTTATTGGGGCTCGTCAGCACAGTGTAGCCAGCATACCTAGCACATCCTATACATGCAAGTAAATTGCAACTACTGTAAGCATGAATCCAAGATAAGTATTGTGACAACCTACTTAGCATTTAATTCTTGAAATGGCTTTAAACATCTTCCAACTAAATCTAAATTAATCAATTATCAATTGCAAGACCACCCTTTTTATGTCAATAAATGCTGATGCATGTACAATTGCATGAGTGCATGCATGGTTAAGTTTCTTATTACTGAAAGATTACTGAAGAAGACTGGACATAGCTAGGATGTGACAACTGTGTACAGCCAATTCCCCTTTCACTCACCAACTTATTTATCAATAACAGAAAATAGGGTGGTACAAGGGTAAGTTAGTGAAATATGTGCCCTACTTTATTATTTTACCCTATCTGACACCAGACAATTTTAGTCTTCAAGGGGAGAGCACCTAACAGGTTAATTAATCACTCTGCAATGTGTTTTATTATTATTTTGCTTGTCAAGTACCAGCAATTGTTCTTGCACCACTGGTGCAATATAATTACAAATCCAGTCTATACAGCTGTTAACGCCTTAGCATGTACGCCGATTTCAAAACATGTTTTAATTAATTAGATGCAAAATTGAAAGAATTGGTAATTGTAAACAATAGCAGTTTTGCACCCAAACATAAAAGTTCCATACCTGATTTGCCCAAACATTGACATTTGGGACGTAAATGTTACTACTTTGCGTCTCATTAAAAAATGTTTCAAAATTGGTGTACACGCTTAGGCGTTAACAACTGTAAAATTAATTATCTACTCACCACTTTCGCTTATAGCAGTAATTGATTTTGTTTTCAATGTCTGGCATGCATGTAAAGGACGAGGATTCAATAAGGTACCAACAATTGCACTGGGCTGAAACATTCCATCCTATTATGATATAAAAAAACATTGAAGGTAATTGTACATGGGATATTTCAAGAAGATAAATAAATACAGAATGATATAGAATATTGAGGATTGTGATTTTATTGCCATTTCAGATGTTATAGAACACAGATATGTTTTGGTGCAAGACATCACTTCAAAGAGAATTTGGAGTTAATGTGATAGCCAATTTTCATTACAGTATCGAGCCACTATGGCCCTGGCACTGTACAATGCAAAGATATATTAAAACAAAAATCATCCGAAAAATTGCCTTAAACAAGGTGTGAAACTAAAATGGGCTGGACGACTACAACAAAGCTATTAATTTGGATTATATATACTGTATTCATACTCTAGACAACCCGTAAAAGTAATTTTAAAAGGTACAACACAATGTTACATTACAAAACAAATGCACTTGCCTTCCATTGTTCGACCAGATGAAAAACATTTCGGTGTATACTATGTACATTGTACAGAACTCACACATGCTTCGCAATAAAATACACATGCTACACATTTTAGACAACGAAACATTGCATTAGCTGTTCGGCATTCAGTGCACAGGGAACCATCTGCAATCCACTCAGATTCAATGACTGCTCCCAGCCTAGGCAGCCTTGAGCTGCGCGTTGTTGTCTTTTCTTGTAACAACTGACTTCAGCTTGGTCATCCTCAGAATCATCCTCATCATCACCCTCATTTCCATCAATTATATCCATTGCGAGCGGTTGCATTGCATGTTCCTCTATGAAATCATCATCTTTGCTGCCACTTCCTTCAACCGGTTGAACAACATCAGGCGTTGTTAGCGTAATTCTTCTTTTTGAAAAAGTCGAAGAACTTTCGAAAGACACAACTTCCTTATACGGTAAACTTCGCTTCACATTTCGTCGTCTGCCCATCCTCTGACCTTGTTGTATAAAATAAGGGGGATTAATAAATAAAGTTTCAGAAATCTGAACAGAATTTCAGCATAAAACGGTCCTATAAATCGTGAAAATACATAAAGTGATAAAACACTATAATTTCCACTCTAGCGTAGCCGCCAGCAGAAAAATTT